TGCTTTCTTCTTTACATTGTTCTTTTTATGTACAGTACCCTGAGACAACGTATGTTGGGACTTGGTGCTATATAAATAAACTGAATTGAATTGAATTGATGTTATGCATCAGAAGTTTGGTCCTACCTGTGGTGACCTCCTGCACCAGGATGGGGGTCTGGGATGAGAGGGTGAGGCCGTGACAGTTGAGGTTCGGGTCTCTTTGGATCTGAACATTGAATCGGAACGGGTAGTTCCTCTGATCGGAGCTGCTGGACTCGGCTGCCTTTCCGTCCGACGCCACGCGATCTCTGGAGAGGAAAAGTTTCACTAAAAGAACTGACACATTTCATGAAACATCAACAGGAAACGACAGCAGCTCAGTTTAGATTTGACTCAAACACGGTCAGACTACCTGCCGGCAGAGTGAGACCTGCTGCCCAGGTCTCTGGACCGTCTCAGCCATCGTCCCACCACCTGCTCCACTCGGCTCGTCCTGCGGGACGGGGACCGGCTTCGGTCCTGCAGCTCCATTTACCTGCAGCTCCAAACACAAACGACTCGCTATTTTCAACAAAAAACACGACCTGTGTGTCCAGTTTAAGTGATCCTGAACAGGAGCCAGAGGGGTCGGTGTTAAACGTGTTCACGTGAGGAGACAAACGGATCTGCCTGACAAAGACAACCCACAAATCAGCTAAACAAAGCAGGGACGATCAGTCCTGGATGAAGACGTACAGGTTTTTAATCACAGTGTTTCTATGGGGACAGTAAACATACACTGTGTGAAAAATGTGAATTTATTCCAGAAGATAATTGTGAATCAGAACTTAAGTCTTAATAAAACTGTGACAAAGTTCAACTCTAAATCCTAAAACCTAGTTAGTTTAGATAAAATGAATCTATTTTATATTTCTCAGAACATGAGCTGAATGAACTGATGTGGGTTTGCTGAGACTGAAAGGATCCAGTTTGTGAATAAACTTGGGCTGAGGCCAGCTGTGATGTCACTCTCTGCTCTCAGACCGATTAATGAACCAAATGATGCCATAACCATCAGGATCGATGGTCCATGACTTCTAATAATGACTTTCTCTTCTTTAAATGGGTCCCTTCTGTGTGGCAGTGGAGCAGCTGGTTGTCACTGAGGACTGTTAAAAGCCCGTGGTGGTCCCTGGGATGTAATGGACCCRGGTCTGATCAGGATCGTAATGGGCCTTTGTGGAGATTTCTAATATTTTAGGTCATGCTAGATCAGCTTACAGGCAAACACACTTATGAAAATGAGTGTTTAGCTCWTTTGAAAGATGGGGTTTAATGGAAAGGTTATGAACAATTAATATCTTACCTGTTGCAGATAACTTTTTGAATTTTTGGAGTTTAAATGGTCAAAAATCCTGACCCCACTACAGGTCAGCAGATGTTAAACCTCCCCTGACGTGATCTGAAAAAGTCCCTTAAACCCAATCAACTTGATTTTCAGATTGTAATAAAAAAAGAACATGAAAAAAGTCGGCAAAGACATGAATGAATGTCTCATTAAAYGGATCGATTCTGAACTTATAATGCAGAATTTCTGTTGAGAGTTTGGACCGGCGAGTGAACGATCTGATCTGCAGGTGATGCTTCGGAGCGGGAAGATAAGACGAGATAAATACAGTGAACAGAGGGAAGCGACCCAAAATGATAAGTGGGATAAAAAAAGAGGCGAGAGTGATCGGTCCCCTCCTCCTTTCTGTTCCTCCATACTTCCTGCTCCACGTCTCTCTCCTCATATTCACTAACGGTGTCTCCTTTCACTGCTCCGGTTACAGAAACACAACGCAGAAGGCTATTTTTGGTTTGAAAGAGTCTAAATATTCGCACTGACTCACGCAGACTAAGAACAACATTTTTTTAATTCCATAATATGTTTTCTACCAATGATTGACTGAGCACACAAAGCAATTCTTTTTCTGCAACCGCAGCGTTCAAGACAAGAGATCAAAAAAGGAAATGTCAGCTTTTTTTCCCACTTTTTTTGAACAGGTGTAATAATAGGGCTGCTGGAAACCTGAGACTGTGATCCTCTAACATGAAACCCGTCGCCTCAGTGTGACACGATTTAAAGATTTCAGYTGTTCTATGTGTTCAACTCATTTTAAAACTGCACAGAAAGTATCCATTTTTAAGGACCAGAGGATTAAAAACCTGTAATTTCCAGGTTTTTTTTGATTATTTTAAATCAGCTGGTTTATAAAAATAAAAGCTGCAGAATGATGTTTAGTCATAGACCTAACACTTCCTCCTTCAGCTCCATGATGCTCCCAGATATTTGAATTTCATGTGACCTAATGGATGCTGCAGCTGCCAGAATAAAACATGATCAGTTTCAGCTTGTTTMTGCCAAACTTACTAAACTTGATCCATTTTTAGTTTTTAAACATTGTGATTGTTCACTTTGATGTTCTCTATATATTCATTCTTTTCTTGATTATTTCGCTTTACTTCTTGTAAATTTTAAGTTTTCTATTTTAAAATCAAAAGT